ACGCTCTCACAGAATACCAGGGTAAAATAGCAGCTTAATGTTGTTGTTTCATATGGTGAGTGTAGAGAAACAGAGACACAATTTTTACGGAAAACGAGGCATTCCACCTCAGTCCGCAGGAGAGACAACGCATCTGCATTTTGATTCTTAATCGCGGATAGATGTAGATGTCTATGGGCCACAGCATCCACTTATCATCAGGTGGACTGCATGCTCATTTGTTACCCCTATTCTGTGAAAACACATCCAGGATTCTATAATTATTATCCATCTTTTGGATGCAGTATTCTAATACTAGCATAAAATATTAATATTACACTGTCTACAGTGTAACGTTAATATATTATTATTATATAATAAGTGTAACATAAAGACATTTATTTATTATTACATTTACATATTAACAGTGTTTTAAAATCCTTTAAGCATTTGCAAGCAGAAATGGTAATATTTGTACAAAGCATGTGTGAATAATTAATATTTGCATACCTTTAGCATTTTTCCAGTGTGAGACACAAGGTGGAACTTTCCAATCGCGTTGTTGCTTCACGGAGACCCTGCGTGGAGGGGAGTGCAGCACTGGTGCCGGGGGCGAAGGCGCCGCTCGTGGGATTTTCTTGTTGATTTGGAAACGCGGGGGCTCCATCGGGTCTGTTTGTGCTTCCACCATCCTGATTGTGGAGAAATATCAAATATTTGAAATTATCAACTAGACACCAGAATAGATATACTAGAGATAAGAAACGTAAATTTTACAGTGCCACATGTCAAGCTATACCTAATAGTTGTATAGTTGGTGTTGTATCTTGAATTGAGAACCTTCCCCTTTTTGAAATCGGTTAATTAAATAAGCTTAAGCTTTTGTTACATTTAGTTGTACACTACTGAACATAGGGATATATCATTGCCTCCATAGGGGGGGCGGGCGATATTTACCATAATTGACATGCTGGACAGGCATGTTGGCAACTGCAGTTTTTTATGTTTATTTGAAATGACATTGGAAATGTAACAAGGATTATGGCCTCTGATATAGTGTTAAGAGGTTTATATAATATAATAGAATATAGACAGGATGTTCAATAGACTAGAGAAATGTATCTACATTTCTCTAGTCCATTGAATTGTAGACTACTACAGGTTACATTTTGGAGAATGTGAATGATAATTACATGACTTAATTTTTCACTTTCCCTTCCATAATTGGAGAACCAGATATTTAGTGGATCCCCATCCATATTGTTAACATATCAAGTTCTGCAACAAAATGGTTGCTTCATTGCTCGTAATGGGTATAGCAAAGTAGTGGAATAATTTGTTGTCCTTTTTTTTTTATAGGATAAGGGTGACAAACAAGCACACAGTCCACCTGATGGTATGTGGTTGCTGCGGCCCATAGACATCTACATCTATCCTCTATTGCAAATCATAATGCAGATGCGTTGTCACCCGTGAGGACTAAGATGGAATGCCTCATTTCCAGTAAAAAGGGCCTCTGGCCACCTGCACTCACCAAGCGAAACGCAGAGGTAAACCTCTACTTCACGCTGGTATTCTGTGAGGTCGTGGTACCACTCCGGTTCGAGCCGGCCCATCCGTGCGACAGCAAAAGCCGCCACGTGGCTCTACCACTGTTAAAATGTCTTTCCACAAAGGCCATAGTGAATAGACTTTTGTTAAGCTATGCCCATGTGCATTATCATCTCTGACTTCGGCATTGATGGTGAGTGTGATGCGGTGTGTATGAAGAGGGTAATTATACACTAGATGAGATAGAGTTGACCACTTGCAATGGCTTATAGTAGGTAAAAGACAAAACTATAGCAAATTAATTGGTGATTTTATGATGAAAAGACCAACCCCCGAATGGATTCATAATGATTACTTACTCATATAAAAAAACCTGCTACAAAAATGTCATACTTTGTACACATTTTCTACCGACTTCAAAAAGGAGACGGTACTTAATTCAACTGTATGTTTTTTTATGTGTCTTACCACATAACTTTTTACTGGATGAACCTTATTCAATTATCCTTTTTTTATTTGAAAGCTGGTGCTTCACATGTGGTCCCATATATATTTAATCAAGGTGAACCAATAGTTTTTGAGTTATTCTTAATTATTTTAACCTAAATGTCTGAAATGTTCTATCCAATTTCAGAAATGTTTGATAAAGGTTGTGAGTTATTGGTGGCAACTAGTATACACAGTTAAAGGCCCTCTTGCAGTATGGAGTGTAGGTGGGTAAGGCTCAAATTTTTCGCGCACTATCTAAAAATGCGCTGTCCGAGAAATTGAAGAGAAGAAATAAAATATCAAAAATAATAAATACTTTATTTTTATTATTAACTCAAGGAAATTAGCTATTTTTCATCGTGTTTGTTTTTTTATTTAAATGTTATTCCATAATATCCCTATTTTATAATTAAAAATAATAATGTTCATATTTTCCTCCCATACAACTTGTTGATGTCCGTGTACATACACTTTTCAAAAACTATTCGAAATGTTTGAGAAACCGCTGTTGTTTTAGTCTGCGTATTCTATGGTCTACATATAGTTAAAGTGGCAACACAGGCCCATGAAATTGGACTAACTTGATGGTTGGATGCTTCCGCCATTTTGTTTTTGCGTCAAATGGCCGAACGTGTCGGACCTCGCTACGTGTCATTAAGAAATTGTAAGTTTACTTTGTTATATTTTCGAAATTGAAATGGTTTTCCTGATTTAAGAGAGTAAATCATATCTATTATGTATTTAATTGTCAAAATATAACAATTAGAATGAGCAATATAGTAAATTTCATGAATTATGATTTTTTTTAGGCTAAGTTGTGTAGAATATTTGATCCGTTGTGCGACGTATGACACGAAATTGTGTGACGTGTCACAATGGAAATCGTAAACCTGTGTACCTATCAACTTTCTACTCAATTTATGGAATCATATTAAAATGCTTGCGAATTTTTTTTAATCTATTTGATAATCAATATTTTTCAGATGTTGTCCGTGGCAGAAAGATGCCGAAGGTACCGCGAAAACCTTAGACAATCTCCATCCAGAAAAAGAAGAATGCTGAGAGAACAAAGCTTAAAAAACATGAAATAATATCGCGATGAGAAAGCAATGGCGGGTAGCTAAACGCATTAAAAAAGACGAAAAGGTGGAAAAGCTAGTCGTACCCAATATTGATAATAGGCAACGTCGCAAATATCGTAGTAAATTACTACGTGAAAACACAGCAAACACAAACACAACAACCCAGATGTGCCTGAACTATATAAAATGAGAGACAGTATATTAGTAAGATTCTACCAAAGAAAGAGCTGGAAAAATATTGCGTAGGCTTTATTGATAAGATTGAAATAAAATATGTGAAATCAAACATTTTTATGAAGTTCATTTTGTAAAGACAATTAAAGAACAAGATCGTAATATAAAATTCATAAAAATACCGAAAAATAAAGATATTGAAATTGTTACCAACGTTTCAATAGTTAAAAAAGTTAAATTAACTGCACTTGAGAAATCAGGAGAGTACAGTTTAACTGAAGATTGTGACGAAATATTTAAGAGTATACAACTCTCAATATATTACATTTTTCGATACTGTTAACGCCTTGTATCATCTCATCTACTCTTTTTTTAATAAATATTTTTGAATTTTGCATATTATATTAGTTTTATTTAATAGTATACCCCAATAATTATGCAGGTAATTAAGTACTTACGTCCAGGGTATACCCGGATCACAGGGTCAGGTCCGCCATCTCGCACTATGCAATCGTAATGAGCTAAGACTATGTAATTGATCTCCCTCACTATTTCAAGGGGTATATTCTAGGCAGCCGTTACCCGTTAGTAGTGACGTAAGTATACTTAATTATTATTATTGTATTTATAAATAAAATTAAAACAAACAGTTTATGTACAAAAATATTTTACAACCCATGTGCACTACACTTTACAAATTCCGTTGTACGTTTTTTTCTTTTTGACACATTCTGTTGTAATTTCCATTGTGTGACTGCGCAAAAAATTTGAGCCTTACCCAGGTATGAAATTGTTACCTCTTTCCCCAAAATTGTTGAGCATATATGTAAGTAGGGAAATTTTTAAGAAAACAATGTACATTCAGCCTTAAAGATGTCACAGCGTTCATTGCCCAGGACAGCCGAAAGCACTTGAACTGTTCAATTTTGATTATTTTTCGTAACATAAATATAAAAATGTTACTACAGGGTCTCCTCATTATGCCTGCAAGATACACATTTAAATAGCGATTTAGTGTGATATTCATGATCTCTTTCATGGTGAGTGTAGAGAACCAGAGATAATTTTACTGGACACGAGGCATTCCATCTTAGTCCTCAGGGGTGGCAATGCATTTGCATTTTGATTCTTAATCGAGGGTAGATGTAGATGCAATACATTTCCACAGAATCCACTTACCATTAGGTGGACTGTGTGCTCGCTTGTCACCCTTATTCTATTTAAAAAAAATCTAGTTTTGGTGAATTGCAGGCGCATAAATCGGGGCATTCCATAAGAATTATTGAATATTTACCATTCAAATTTTAATAAATTGATAAGTATGTTTTCATTTGTAATCATCATCATTACAGCCCTTCAAAAATCCACTGCTGAACATAGGCCTTCCCAAGGAATGCCACAAAGCACGGTCCTGAGCCAGTTACATCCATCGACTACCTGTCTTTCCAGGTCGTCACTCCATCTAGTGGGGGGACGCCCTACACTTTACCTACCGGTACGAAGCTGCCCCTCGAGAACCTTTTTTCCCCATTGGTTGTCGAGTATCAATAAATCATTTGTAATAACTGCATATAAATAACTAACCTGATGACTCTTTGCTTAGCACCAGAATTGAAGGTACCTCCTTGTTGAGCTGGTGTATACCTGATGTACTGAGCCGGCGCCTGTAATGTTTACACACTATCAACAGTCTTGGTGTTTAATCTGTATGTTTTTTTTTTTAATAGGATTAGTGTTTTTCACACAGGTGGACCTGACGGTAAGTGGTTGCTATGGTCCATAGACATCTACATCTATCCTTGATTTAGTATCAAAATGCAGATGCGTTGTCACCTATGAAGACTAAGATAAAATGCCTCGTTTTCAGTAAAATGGTCTCTGGTTATCTATACTCACCATACGAAACACAGCAGTGTTAAGCTGCTATTTTACGCTAGTATTCTGTGAGAGTGTGGTCCTTGCTCGGTCGTGCCGACTCATTCGTGCTACAACTATACCAGTAATATAGCTGCAGCATGGCTCTACCACGTATAATGTTCATGTGTTCTAATTTCAAACACTAAATACATCATCGTCATTGAAGTCCATCACAATCACTTTACAGCTGACAGAAGGCAAATAAGCACAGTGGAGCCATGGGCAACCATCAATTTCCTCTTTGTTTTACAAGGCACCGGTTCTTTTCTACCGAATTCAAAAAGGAGACGATACTCAATTTGAGTATATGTTTTTTTATGTTCTTTTTTAGTTGAAAGCTGGTGTTACATGTGGTCCCACATAAATTTGATTAAGGTCTGACCAATAGTTCTTGAGTTATTCTGAATAATTTATATTGAGGTCGGTTGTACAAAATTTTTAATATTGAATTTTACAATCATTATTTCTAGAGGTTTTAGAGGATTTTAAAAGTATATTTCAATTATCTATCTATCTCTATATTTCAATTATATATCTATTTAATGTATGTTCACAAAAACAAAGGCAGTTTTAGTAAAAAAAGTGATATAGAAAGAGTTTATAGAGTGAAATACTAGGAACAAACACAAGCTAGAGATACCGGTTTCTCGACTCCACAGAGTCAGTAATTCATTCTTGGGGCAATGTATACACTATTACAACAAAGTCCCAGAAAATATACAAGGTCTCTCTATTACTAAGTTTAAATATTATATTAAACAAAAACTGTATAAAAAGTGTTCATCATCATCATCATCATTACAGCCCTTCACAAGTCCACTGCTGAACATAGGCCTCCCCCAAAGAATGCCACAAAGCACGGTCTTGAGCCACCTGCATCCATCGACTTCCTGCATGTCTTACCAGGTCGTCACTCCATCTCGTGGGGGGACGCCCTACACTTCGCCTACCGGTACGAGGCCGCCACTCGAGAACCTTTCTTCCCCATTGGTTGTCGGTTCTTCGAGCTATATGGCCGGCCCACTGCCACTTCAGCTTACTAATCCGTTGGGCTATGTCGGTTACTCTGGTTCTACTGCGGATATCCTCATTCCTAAGTTTATCACGCAGAGAAACTCCGAGCATAGCCCTCTCCATAACTCGCTGAGCGACCTTGAGCTTTCTCATACGGCCAGCAGTGAAGGACCACGTCTCAGTTCAGTAAGTCATCACTGGCAACACGCACTGGTTGTACAATTTCGTTTTAAGGTTTTGAGGTATGTCTGACGAGATGTGTCGTAGCTTCCCGAACGCTGCCCAGCCGAGTTGAATCCGTCGATTGACCTCTCGGTCGAAGTTGGACTTACCTAGTCGGACTATTTGTCCCAGGTAAACATACTCGTCAACAACTTCGAGTTTAGTGTTCCCAACAACTACCGGCATAGGTGTGACATGGACATTAAACATAATCTTTGTTTTGTCCATGTTCATCTTAAGACCTATCCGTTGGGAAACACTATTGAGGTCATTGAGCATAGTGCTTAGATCCTCCAGCGATTCTGCCATAAGGACTATATCGTCGGCAAATCGAAGGTGAGTGATGTACTCGCCATTGATGTTGATACCGTATCCTTTCCAGTCCAGAAGCTTGAAAACGGGGATATGACGTCACCCTGTCTTACACCTCTCTGCAATTGGATAGGTTTCGTACTCTGGTTCTGTACTCGGATAGCCATCGTAGCCCTACTGTACAAGCACTTCAACACTTCGATATACCGACAGTCAACTTGGCACCGCTGAAGGGACTGCAGCACCGCCCAAATTTCGACGGAATCAAAGGCTTTCTTATAGTCCACATACGCCAGACATAGTGGCAAATTGTACTCTTCGGACTTCTGTACAATTTGCCGAAGGGTATGTATGTGGTCTATGGTGCTAAAGCCCTTACGGAAAACGGGTTGTTCGGGAGGCTGGAAGTCGTCAAGTCTGCGCGCGAGACGATTCGTAATGACTCTCGAAAACAGCACGTAGACGCGGCTCAGAAGGGAAATCGGTCTGTAGTTCTTCAAGAGAGCGTTGTCACCATTCTTGAAGAACAAGACCACCGCACTTCTGCTCCACGCCTCCGGTGTAATGCCATGTCCATGGAGGATGGAATTAAAGAGCTTCTGAAGGACTTCAAGTACCGGTTTTCCACCCGCTTTCAGAAGCTCCGCTGTAATTTCATCCTCGCTTGGGACCTTACCGTTTTTAAGGTGCTGGAGAGCCATTCTAATCTCGCTCAGACTGACGTCCGGGATATCTTCGGAATAGCGTCATAAAAAGGGTTATTATAATATAAATGAATACATGGTTGATAATAACCCCTGGGAATGAGGTGGTCGCTTCCAAGCTATTTCTAAAATAAGTTTTGTAAATAGTTTGTCCAACTATTCTTATAAAGTTTACTTTTTTTAAAAAGAACCACTGGGTTTCTTGCTGGTTCTTTCCAGGACGTAAGGTTTTTTTTCGAACCAGTGCTAAAGTAAAAAATTACTTTCAATAAGAATTACTTCTATTCTATTCTACATTTTTTAAAGTTATAAACAAACTTACAGTCAACTACTGATGCGGTCCATGGAGGTGTCCAACTTAAAACAAAGAGGGCTACAGATGAGTTATCACCTTTGAGGACTATGATGACAGGCTTTACAGTATAATTATACTCAATGTCCAGACCCATTCACAGCGGTGCATACACCGCTATTTGCCGCCACGAGTAGGTAAAAGGGTGGCATTTACCCAGACAAACTCCCAGAAGAAAAGGGAGTCCTATCCCATAGTAAAAATACACATATTACATTATCATCTTGTTTTATAAGTCCATGGGATGATATGTAGCTACTAAAGCCCATGGATACAAGCAACTTGCAAGCAACTTCAAACAATGTAGAAGGCTGCATATGGGTTCGCATCACTGAAGATTAAGATGGAACACAACCATGCATGTATTGCTGCTTGGTGAGAGGGTGGTCCTTACCCGGATGGCCTACTAGACAGAAAAAAATTCCTACCACCTAACATCTAGTAGAATCACATCTGTTTGTGATTGTTCACCTTATTCTTAATTATCTTCAATGAAAGCGACATTAGTGATAATAATCAACTTACTGCCTTTGGAGCAGCTTTCACTGGCAGGGCAGCAGATATTTTGGCATTTGTCAATTTCTCTAATGCTTGCTTCGTTTTTTCCGTTATATCCTGTATATCGTCTTCATTTGGCTTCTGGAGATTAGGGTCATCTTCTGCCAAAACCTCTGATGGCAGTAAGTCTGTCAGTTTTGAATAGATTATCTGGAAATAAAAAATGTTGCAATATTAATATCTGTTTATGCATCTACTGAGAAGTTATTCAACAAATATATAATGTCTATGTTTAAAGATGCAAGAAGGTGGTGTAAGAATATCCACTACCCCATATCGCCCCATGGGTGTCGTTAGAAGGGACAGAGGGAAGCAAAACAGATGGGCAGCAGCATCTTCCTAATAACAGCTAGAATATAAACTGTGGTTGCCAATCCGACCCGCCAAGCATAGCAACTATGGGAAGTATCCCCATTATGTGACATTTTATGGGAAGACCTATATTCAGCAATGGACTTTGGTAGGCTGTGTTGAATGATATAAATGAAGAAATTTATTGTTATTGTCAGTGGGGATGTCGATTCTTTCCGAAGAAGATCGATTTTTAAATTGATTTTAAATAGATTCGAATTGTAAGCTGATGTCTCTATTCCCAAAAACTCGATTTCTAAAATATCTATATTTTTTTCATGTTTGCATTTATAATGTCAATATAGATCCATTTTATGAAAAACAAGAAAGATACCATAATAAATGATCTCTTATTGAAATTTGTTATATTTTAACAGTACCAATAAAGATAGGGCAGATAACAAATAAAATAGGTTAGGTTCAACTTATGTCAAAGAACCGAATTGATTGACTTACAATTTGAATCGATTTAAAAATCGACCTTTTTCGGAAAGAATCGACATCCTTACTGACGACAATGACATTACAAAATGGCGTCAGTTTTATGGTAGGATTAGATATAAACAATGCAAGAATAATTGATTTTCAATAACTTTTTTCTCAAAAATTACGCGTTTCCGCATGTTGTAATTTTGTGTGTGCTTATAATAGTGTAACTTTTCTGTAAAAATACGTATCAACTCCAACTCGACGGGAGTCAATGGAAAGCTAAGCCAAAGCAAGAGTATAAAGTCAAGAGAACAAGGCGTTAAAATATGCACATTGAATGTGAGTTTCTATCAACAAGAAACAAAACTTTAGAACTAAATAATGCAATAAATAAAGTTAAAAAGATAGGATATACCATTGATGAACATAAAAACTACATTTTTTTTTATATAGGAGACACAGGGACTGCATGGCGTGGGCTTCTTAATAAAGAAATCACTAAAGGGAAAACATATTAAGCTTTTTGGAAATATTAGAGAGAGTGGCTCTGCTAAAACTGAACTTCAAAGAGGGACCACTATCGCTGATTCAAGTATATTCTCCCACTGAAAGTTCAAGTGAAGAAGAAATCATAAGATTCTGATGATTCTGATTTTGCAATGACTTAATAAGAGCACAAGAACTGGCTGATAAAACAGGGTAATCATAGATTTCTCATTAGATCATGTGGACTATTTCAATGTAAAATTTGGACAACCTCAACCTCACGAAAATCTTATAATGGGCAAATATGATTACGGTATAAGGAACGCCTGAGGTGGACGCCTAATACAATATGCACATGAGTACAAGCTGGCAGTGATGAACACATATTTCAAGAACACATATGTCAAAGAAAAAATAAAAGGCAATTTTTTTTCAAGCACCAAAGAAGCCGTGGCTGCCTACAAAGGAGTGATTTCCGACCTGGCAGATCAAGAATGGCAAAAGTGTTTTCAGTTAGTTTAGGCGAATGGAACTATAGAGCACGATGGAGAATATTTTGAAAAGATGTAAATTAAATATTAATAGTATCTAGAATACTTTTTGTATATCTCAAAACTTATTCACTTATTGAGTGACCTACGTATAACAGAATGTGCAACAGCTTTCTATACTTCTTTTTATGAAAAAACTACCACACAAGGTGATGAAAAAGATAATAGTAATATAACTGGAGAAGATATAGCAGAAACACTATTAGACCCAATAACAGGAAGAGAAATAATGACCCAAATTAAACAACTGAAACTCGAGAAGAGCCCAGGCTAAAATAAAATCACAAACAAAGCCCTAAAAATCAGAGCAACATATAAAACAGGGTACCTGCTCAATATCAGCAACTTTCATCAATGATCCTAAGAAGAATAGTACCAAATATTGACCAGAATCAGCCACTGGAACAAGTGGACTTTCGGCTGCGCTACTCAACAATATACCACATTCACATAATGGAACAAATAATAGAGAAATTTAAAGAATTCAATATACCACTTTCTATAGCCTTTGTGGACTATTCCAAAGCATTAAACAACATTGTACGCCCACCTATGTCGACTGCTCTAAGAAATAATGATGTAAACAAAACATATGCAAATATCATAAAAAACATCTACTGGAAAAATGTAAGCAGAGTAAAACTGGAAAGACAAGGGGAGGAGTTCACAATTGGTAGAGGGGTGCGGTAGGGAGACACGCTGTCTCCAAAGCCATTCATAGCTGTACTTAAAAGACATTTTCAAAAACATTAATTGGGAAAATAAAGGCATATGGGTACTTAATAAAAAATTGACACATCTAAGGTTTGCAGATGACATTATTATTTTTAGGGAATCCACAACAGAATTACAAGCAATGCTACAAAGATTAAACTCTGAAAGCAAAAAAATCAATCTACACATTTGTAATGTTTGGACAATTCAATGAATCAAGACTCAATGATGCAGTTTAATAACTCTCTCTTTATTGGTTTGGAGGAACTTATATACAGTGATTGTGACGTAGGTACATAGGTAGGGGATAGCGTTTGTGTTACATGGTTCTAGGTAGAGCCACATGAATATAACATATTACTGAACTAAATAGATATTATAATGATTTCTTATATTTACGCGAACACTACACATTGAATAAAACTATTTTTACGGATTTTATCGCGTTTAATTTACTTATTTTATATTCCCGACGTTTCGGTTGCTTTCCAGCAACCGTGGTCACGGGGGACTGAGGTGATTGACGTCCCGATGTCAAAGTTAACCCGGAGTACCTTCAGCTTTTTAATTATTAATTTTGGTCCGATCTACGCAGAATGAACTAACTGTGTCTTGAAGTCTTACAGTGGTATGCTTGGGTTTAGTTTTAATTTTATGAATTACAGGATCCCAAGCAGGTGGTAGTACCCAGCCTCCCTCTCTATTGAAATTAGGATGTTTTTTAATTTCAATAGCCTCACGTATCATCCTTGGCAGGAATCGATGTTCTTTCGCGAGGACTTGTGGTTTATCAAATCTAATGTAATGACGGGGGCCGTCTAGGATATGATCACAAACTGCAGACTTCCCGGAACGTTGGTGCTTCACGTCAGCTATGTGTTCTTTTACGCGGGTTTTTATTGATCGTTTTGTTTGCCCTATATATGAGAGACCACACTCACAATCAAGCTTGTATACTCCTGCATCTTGTAGAGGAATATTGCACTTGACGGATGGTAAGAACTGACTAATCTTCTTCGGCGGCTTGAAGAATGTTCTAATAGAAGCTCGCTTCAAGATGTAGCCAATCTTGTCTGTGACACCTCTGACATATGGTAGTACAGCAGGCACACGCTCGACTGTGGCCGGCTTCACTCGGTCACTGTGACGTAGGCGCGGAACCCGAAGCTTGTTGTCGTGCAGAACCTGCTTGACGTGCTGAAGCTCGGCGGCCAGGTGTTTGCTGTCACAGATCCCTCGTGCTCTCTGCAACAAAGATTTGCCCACGGTAGCTAACTGTGAAGGGTGATGGTGGGATTCACCGTTTAAGTATCGGTTTGTATGGGCCTTTTTTCTATACACAGTGTGACCTACGGTGTTATTAGGATTTCGAATGACTAACACATCTAGGAAAGCTAAAGAATTATTTGCCTCTAACTCCATAGTAAATTGAATTTTAGAGTTTATGGAATTAAGATGTTCTAAAAATGCAGTTACTTTGTCTGATGGTAAAATTGTGAAAGTATCGTCTACGTACCGCTTGTAGAAACTTGGAGTTACTGGTGCAGTAAGCAGGGCTTTCTCCTCAAAGTCCTCCATGAAAATATCGGCGACAATGGGAGATACCGGTGAGCCCATCGCAACACCATCTACTTGCTTGTAAAACTGTTCCTTCCACAATAGGTAGCCAGATGTAAGGCAATGTCTGAGTAATACTGCATATTCTGCTGGCATGTTGTTTTCCTCTAGTTTCCTAGTTATAATTGAGATGCAGTCTTCAACAGGTAGGCATGTAAATAGAGACTGAACATCAAAACTGACCATAGTTTCATTGTCAGTAAGACATAGGTCTTTTATCTCACTGACAAAATGGTATGAATCCTTAGTGTGTGCTCTTGTATGTCCTCTGAGTGGTGATCCGACGATTATAATGGATACGTCGGATTACAATTTTAAAATACAACAACTTTTATCGGATGAAAGTACGTACGTAAGGGTCAAAACAGATCCTACAACTAATACGCTTAAAACAACTAGCGATCTAATAAAGAAATACTCCGAGAAACTGAATCTAGACGTAAATTCGATAATACCTACGTGTGCCAAACCGCCGAAGTTGTATGGGTTACCAAAAATACACAAACCGAACGCTCCATTACGTCCAATAGTGAGTCAGATCGATTCGCCAACTTACAGATTGGCTCAACACTTAGCAAAAGTACTATCACCACTCAGAGGACATACAAGAGCACACACTAAGGATTCATACCATTTTGTCAGTGAGATAAAAGACCTATGTCTTACTGACAATGAAACTATGGTCAGTTTTGATGTTCAGTCTCTATTTACATGCCTACCTGTTGAAGACTGCATCTCAATTATAACTAGGAAACTAGAGGAAAACAACATGCCAGCAGAATATGCAGTATTACTCAGACATTGCCTTACATCTGGCTACCTATTGTGGAAGGAACAGTTTTACAAGCAAGTAGATGGTGTTGCGATGGGCTCACCGGTATCTCCCATTGTCGCCGATATTTTCATGGAGGACTTTGAGGAGAAAGCCCTGCTTACTGCACCAGTAACTCCAAGTTTCTACAAGCGGTACGTAGACGATACTTTCACAATTTTACCATCAGACAAAGTAACTGCATTTTTAGAACATCTTAATTCCATAAACTCTAAAATTCAATTTACTATGGAGTTAGAGGCAAATAATTCTTTAGCTTTCCTAGATGTGTTAGTCATTCGAAATCCTAATAACACCGTAGGTCACACTGTGTATAGAAAAAAGGCCCATACAAACCGATACTTAAACGGTGAATCCCACCATCACCCTTCACAGTTAGCTACCGTGGGCAAATCTTTGTTGCAGAGAGCACGAGGGATCTGTGACAGCAAACACCTGGCCGCCGAGCTTCAGCACGTCAAGCAGGTTCTGCACGACAACAAGCTTCGGGTTCCGCGCCTACGTCACAGTGACCGAGTGAAGCCGGCCACAGTCGAGCGTGTGCCTGCTGTACTACCATATGTCAGAGGTGTCACAGACAAGATTGGCTACATCTTGAAGCGAGCTTCTATTAGAACATTCTTCAAGCCGCCGAAGAAGATTAGTCAGTTCTTACCATCCGTCAAGTGCAATATTCCTCTACAAGATGCAGGAGTATACAAGCTTGATTGTGAGTGTGGTCTCTCATATATAGGGCAAACAAAACGATCAATAAAAACCCGCGTAAAAGAACACATAGCTGACGTGAAGCACCAACGTTCCGGGAAGTCTGCAGTTTGTGATCATATCCTAGACGGCCCCCGTCATTACATTAGATTTGATAAACCACAAGTCCTCGCGAAAGAACATCGATTCCTGCCAAGGATGATACGTGAGGCTATTGAAATTAAAAAATATCCTAATTTCAATAGAGAGGGAGGCTGGGTACTACCACCTGCTTGGGATCCTGTAATTCATAAAATTAAAACTAAACCCAAGCATACCACTGTAAGACTTCAAGACACAGTTAGTTCATTCTGCGTAGATCGGACCAAAATTAATAATTAAAAAGCTGAAGGTACTCCGGGTTAACTTTGACATCGGGACGTCAATCACCTCAGTCCCCCGTGACCACGGTTGCTGGAAAGCAACCGAAACGTCGGGAATATAAAATAAGTAAATTAAACGCGATAAAATCCGTAAAAATAGTTTTATTCAATAAATAGATATTATTTCTACACCTTATATTGCTTTATCATAGTAACTACACCACACATTAAAAAAACACCTCCAAATCTAAAATAATGTTGAACAGTCAAAAGAAAACAATCAAAGTAGAGGAAAAACTGGTAGAATATAAAAATGAATATATGTACCTAGTTAAATTGGTATCCTTTGATGCAAACAGCAACAAAAAGTACAACTTGAAAGAAATACTGGGCCGAAAAAGAAATTGTGAAAGGGAACTATAAGTTTAATATAAAATAGACTATAATGTATTCTTGCATTCTCCCAAGCTTAACTTACGCTAGCCAGATATGGGTCTTCACTGAAAAAGTAAAAGACAAAATTTTATCTCGTGAACATGCAATGGAACGTAAAATACTGAAACTGAGAAAAAGCAGACATCCAGATGAGAACTAAACTAACAGATGCTCTTCACTTTAGTTTGAAACAGAAATGGAACTGGGCAGGCTAATTATCAAAATACAAAGAAAAAAGATGGACTTACCAAACAACTAAATAGCAGGGCCCAAAAGGCATAAGAAATGTGGGACAACAGAAGAAAAGATGGGCCGATGACATAATAAACACAGCAGGAAAAAGTTGGATGCATAGGGCCAAAGACAGGGATAGATGGAAAAGAGTGGAGGTTTTTACCCATAGGAGGGCCACTTAACAAAGAAATGGAAATAAAATAATTATAATTGGATGTTTATTTGTAAGAATTGTTAAGTGAAAAATAAAGCTGGAATAGTAATAATAATACCACAGAAATTTCTAGGTGAACCAATTTTTATTTTCTTTTTTTTTTTTTTTATTTGAAAGCTAGTGCTTTTCATGTGGTCCCATAAAAATTTGATCAAGATCTGACCAGTAGTTTTTGAGTTATCTTTAATAGTAAAGTAAAGTTGCAGCCTATTTACGTCCCACTGCTGGGCACAGGCATCCTCTCATTTCTGAGAGGGGTTTAGGGCAAGGAAATGTCCACTGCGCTGCCCCAACGCGTGTTGGCGAACTTCACATGTCATCGAAACATGCAGGTTCCCTCACAATGTTTTCCTTCACCACCGAGCACGTGGTAAATCAGCACTTAAAATTGCAATTAACAATTTCATTGTTGCTGGCGGGGATCGAACCCGGGTTGCTCGAGTACTGTGAAGCTTACAGCGAGCGCTAACCATTGAGCTACTATTGGCTCTATCTTTAATAATGTGTATTTAATTGACTTCGACTACATTGATGATGTTCTCATTTCATTTATATTGAAGTTGGTTGTACAAAATTTTTAACTTTACCACTTGTATTCAAATCAAACATTTGATCAAAATAAAAATACACACTGTGCAGGTTATAGTTTAGTTTAACAGATATGAACACTTAATTAAACAAAATTAATTTTATTGCTATTATTACTATACAATACTATTTTATTAAACTATACTAACTAAACTGTAAGCTAGCCAAAGCAAATTCATGTAATTAAGAATTCATATCAATGTTACATTTATTTATTTCATCATGAGAGTTTCATCAAGTCTTTCATTGCAGCGAGAATTTGCCTTGTCACTTTTAGATACCCCCTAAGTGACATACCTTCAACATTGCTACCTGTCACTAGTCTTTTTTACAATTGATATGCATAGCTTGATTTTAATAATGGTTGATATTTATAAAACAGTAAATCTTGCCTTAGATTTTATTTATACAAACCTTATCAGCACTATGACCTTGTCGAGCTATAGCAGAGTATTTGACACGTCCAGACTCATCCAACTGTACTGCTAATGCATTGGAAGTACTTTCTTTTCCACGCGCACCCATACCCAGAGGGTATTGTGCCACATGGATTTCTGGGAATGCACCTCCATCTACAATATAAAGTAATGGAATAACAGTGAGTAAGTGACTTCAACGTCAAACAGCCATATCTTTAAAATTAACTCAAAGAGTTGATAAATATTTAAACGATTTAATGACTTTTGTCAATAATATTACCTGCAAAATCTTCTTCTGCTCGCGGCACCCATCCTTTTCTTTGACCATACGGAGGCACGCTGGTCTGAGATACAACAAGGGCACTACCAACGCGCTGCCCTTTTCGTTCGTCATCTCGATCCCATACTTGCTGTATAGGAGCAGGTAATAGGCTGTAAATTGTAAGAAATTGATAATTATTATTACAATACTGTATCGAGACGAATTCCCTTTAATAAACAAATAATCGGAAAACTATTAAGATTATAATAAATTAATAAAACATCTCACACCCAATTCACTTAGAACATCATTCAATCAACAATCATATTATAATCAACATTTATTCAATATAAGCAATTTAATAAAATACAGAAAAAACACAACACACCTTGACAACGACGCCATTTTAATTAATGAATCATAGCATAGACAATGTTGGAATTTGGAATTTCAATTCACATATTTTTTTATATAACTTGCTTTACGGCTCTGGGTTCTAGCCCTTCTGAGCCTGACTATACAATGTATAATTATCCTTCATAGTTGATGTTGATGCGTGACATTGTGCAGCCCTTGGGAGATTTTGACAACAACTTGAGCCAACAGACAGCTGATAGTTGGTGATGATATCTCAAAGCGCCTAAGCAAACAGACACCTTATCTTGAGAATTACATCACCATCAGAGCACTTCTTTCACCGTTTCCACTAATGGTTCATATGCGCAGACATTTAATACACAAAATCGCATCATTCGGACATCCAATCAGCATTCGAACTAACATATCAAAATCCACTTCAAACCATTATTTAAACAATAATACTGGAGCAGCAAACCACCACTGGTCAAGTTCCCGTCAAAACTCAATTCACATATAGAAAAGATATAAGCCAAAGTATAATAAAAAAAAAATATAATCAAATATATGTCTCATCATAAGTATGTTATTCTTGTTATGGAGTGTAGAGGCAGGAAGAACCATCTCCGTAATTGAATAAGTGTCCGTAAAAACGCATCCAATAAGCGTGGCGTGGCGCTGCGGTAGCATAGGATAAATTTTAAAGAAAGCGTCGAAAGTAATTAGAATAATATGGAGAAATAAATAAGGACCGACCAATTTCCGCTAATGTAATGCGGGAAATTTGAGAGAATTACAAGTAAAATATGTAATTATTTTAACTTGTTAAAAATTTATTTGTTGAAAGAAAAATAACAAGTCTTATGGAATTTTATAAATAAATGTAAAATAAATCAACCAGCGGGTTAAACAGATATTCCACTATTTATATTATTTAATTATATAAATAAACGAATACATCTTCAACAACAGTTATAGTTGTTGCGTAACAATAGTTATACTTATTGTTCAATTATTTTATAACGTTTTATAACTATCACCACAGTAAATCTTTAACAATTATTTTAAAAAAGTCACACTAATTAAATCACGTTTTCAGTTACTTTTGTTATATTTACAAATTTATTTTAGACTACATACTACATAAATAGTTGAGGTTTTGTATACTGGCATTTTAGACTCTAATCATGGAATTTTTTAAATATATGAACTCAGCACACTTCAATCCGTCTACAACAACTATCTTCATATTGTAGTTTTTCTGATGCCAGCGCTATTCTGGTAGGTACTGGAACCTCTATTTTCAGTATTTTTTTTGACACTTTTTCAACTTTCCCTCCATATGAGACGGTTCTCCTTACCTCTACACTCCAAAGTTTTTGTTCGCCGTTCACCAATTAAGATGACATAAATTATAGAATAGACCCACACAGCCTAGTCCGATTTATAACTCTTTAGGTATAATAATATGCTTGTCGTTATCCATCACATTGTGAAGTTCTTGGGAGATTTGATAACGATAAGTCAGCAATGTAAAAATAATAATATTACAGTCAAAGTTCGTAACCGGTCAAAACCACTTTTGACTGCAAAATCAGGGAAAAGTAGTTTTGACTAACAACGTCGAGCAAAACCACTTTTAACTGCAATAACATTGGGTAATAGTTATTTTGCACAAAATATATCGATTAAAAGTTGTTTTGACCAAGAATTTTAAACGAAACTACTTTTGAATCATAATTTTTGAATTTTTAAAACAAAAAGTTCAATTCTTTCAATATTATATTTTATATCATTATAGTGTGCGCGGCTTTAGGGTGGCCTAGGGGTTATCCCAGCCGCACCTTAACATACTGTCATTGATATTGCAAGTTTCTTATTGAACTTTAAATCAGGCAAAACCACTTTTGACTAAAAACGTAGGTTAACACCAAATTTGACTTAATAAATCACTTAAAACTGTTTTTGACTAAGGGTATCAGTTAAAAACAGTTTGGCGATTATCCCAATCAAAAGTGGTTTTGACCGGTTATGAGTTCTGACTGTAACGTAGATACAAGTTTGTGGTTAATGTGGAGTTCGGCGTACAGTAATCGACAATTACTTAGAATTTCGCTTTAGAATTTCTACTTACAAAATAGTGTTTCCTCGAGGCAAAAAAAAGGCTGTTGGTAATCAAACGATAATCGTATAAACAAAAAATTCTTATCTGTCCGATAATTTTTTAAATAATAACATTAACAATAATAGGTCTCCCCTGCTAAATGGCTTCCATTTGGTTGGGTTTTTATTTATTTATGTATTTATTTTATTTTATTGATCTTTACGTATATTTATCATTTTCATTTACATTTATATATTTATACAGCCCAACCAGATGAGAAAACTTTATAGATACCCCATACAATAATAACAATAATCTTTATTTGCGTAAAACACGGTATAGATGTTGTTCACGTGTAAAAATTGAGCGCTCGTGTTTTGCTTATTTTACATAGCATGCAAATATTTTTAAATAATGTCGTTTTCCTTAACTATTTGAAATACATTAGTCACCTGATTTAGTTAACAATAGAGAAATAATATTGTAATAATTAGTTAAATGTCAATTTCAATACCTAGTAAAAGTCGCGTATCTTAATCAAGGATATATTGTAACAATACTATAACAATAATTAATTTTTTTTTCAATAAATATTATCCAATACATAATCAATTATTTTTTGTACAAGAATTGTTCTACGCTATAGAAATTATTTTCATTGAGCCGGTTGTACAATTTCTTTTTCAACAATGTAATATTTAGGGTTTTAAGTTTGTCCGGGAGTATATTATATTATTGTATTGTATATTCGGACCATGAAGCTAATACAAAGGGGAGACGGCATAAGCAACTGTGCACTGTGATTCTAAGTAGGTCCTGACGTCATCATAGTGGGCGTGGCTTTAGTTAGTATACTGTCAGCATTCGTCCTGTGCGCTTATGTGTTGAAAAAATCGCAAATCGGTGTATTAAGAAGAAAAGGATGAAGTGTTATGTTTTATTGTGTAAAAACTACTCAGATAGACGCTCTGATGTTATGGATGGCATCACATTTCATTTGTAAATATTTTTACACCTAATTTATTAATATAGTTCTAGAAAAATCTCTTTGCGTCGGCTTTCAAATATAAGTATATTCTATAATATATTATTATATAAATATATTCGACACTAGATGGCGACACTTTGTGTCATGTGAACTAAAAATATAAAGGTCCGTAGAGCTCAGTATTGGTAAAATAATCATACGAAGGTGCTGCAATTTGTTTTGCATTCAGATATAAAGAAATTTTAATCGCACAATATTATTTTTATAGTTTATAATCATTTTGAGAACAGGCCGTATTCTTGTCAAGTAAACCTCATAAAAATGACAAAAAGACAGGGCCCTAATTAGAATTCAATTATTTTTCCCAGTAATCCAACTTTTAATATTAAATGCAGGAAATTGTACTTAGGCTGATATTTACGAAATGTTTAAGTTATATTTAAGTGACATTCTATATGCAAAGAATCACTTAAATAAAATTTAATGTTCTTAGATTGGCATTCAAAAAGTGCATTCGGATGCTTAATTAGGAATAAAATATTTATATTTTAATTGATTTGTAAATAAAATTATATTAATTATAATAATTTGTCTATTATTTGTTCTCCTTCAGAGATATTAAGTAGTATAACCCACACATAAATAAAAGTCCAGCCGTTTCTGCGTGAAAAAATTACACATACTTAGTGTGGAATAAGCTCAAGGAGACAGAAAGAACACACAAAATTTCGCCTTTATAATATTAGTGAGATAAGTAGGATATTTAGTTCCAAATTAAATATCCTACTTAATATTGAACATAGAATATTTAGTTTCAAAGAGACTTTATTTTATGGATAAAATAAATATTTCTTGAAGGTTGACTTTCACGAAATGATAAACATATTTAAATTGTATTTAAGTGATTCTTTGCATATAGAATGTCACTTAAATATAACTTAAACATTTCGTAAAAATCAGCCAAGTACAATTTCCTTCATTTTAATATTGAATGTTGGGTTACTGGGTAAAATAATTGAATTCTAATTGCGGCCCTGTCTTTTTGTTATTTTTTATGAGGTTTACTTGACGATAGATGGCGGCTTGTTCCCAATATTATTATGAGAACTATAAAAATATTATTTTGGCGATTAAAATTTCTTTGTCTGAATGTATTTGCTTCATGAGATAGACGCTCCGATGCTATGGATGGCATCACATTTCATTTGAAAGTAATTTTACACTTAATTTATTAAAATACTTCTAGAAAAATCTCTTTGCGTCGGCTTTCAAATATAATTAAATATATTCCATACTAGACGGCGACACTTTGTGTCCTGTGAACTAAAAATATAAAGATACGTAGAGCTCAGTAATGATAAAATAATCATACGAAGGTGCTGAAATTTGTTTTGCATTCAGATATAAAAAAAATTTAATCACCGAAATATTATTTTATAGTTTATAATATTTTGTGGACATGCCGCCATCTACCGTCAAGGTAGCTAAGCTACATTGCAACATCGATATGGAAAGATTCGAGTAGTTTTGCTATTTTTCGGTAGATGTAGATAGTGTAGTGGGCGGGGCTTTGCATCCCCTCACCCCGCAAATTGTCACGCGTTGTTACATAGTGAAATTTAATTACAACGTCTCCTCTTTGTATTTGCTTCATGATTCGGACACACATGGTAAGGCAACTTCAAATAAAAAGTTGAATTCTTACAATATTATATTTTATATTATTATAATATACGCAGCTTAAGGGTGGCCCCGTAAACTACTGTTAGTGATTTTTTTTTAATTAAAAATGGGCTCTCTCCTGATCTCCACCTCGCCTGAGGTCAAAGATAAGGTCTCCGATAGAGAAATTTTACCCAGAGGATGCCTATAGATTTCTTATATTTACGCGAACATTACACATTGCATAAAACTACTTTTACGGATTCTATCGCGTTTAATTACCTTGTTTTTTTATTGATTCCTGATGTT